GGCGCTAGCGGCGCTGCGCAAAGAGATGGTGAGCAGCTGGGTCCCGGGCAGGGCTTTGGGTGGGAGAGGGGGTGGGTGCTGTGCCGAATAGGAGAGCCCCGAGGTGGGGTGGAGCGCAGAGGGCGGAACCAGCGCGGCCTGGGTCTCCGAGGACGTGCCGGAGCCGGTTGGGTCAGAAGGGATATGGCAACAGTAATTTCAGTTACCGTTATGCCAGTAATTCCATGTGTTTTTAAACGCTTTCCTCGTTGCATTTCACTCCATCCTGCTTCAGTGGTTCTCAACCTTCTGGCCCTTTAAATACAGTTCCTCATGTTGTGACCCAACCGTAAAATTATTTTCGTTGCTACTTCATAACTGCGATGTTGCTACTGTGATGAATCGTCATGTAAATCTCTGATATGCAGGATGGTCTTAGGCGACCCCTGTGAAAGGGTCGTTCCACCGCCAAAGGGGTCGCGACCCACAGGTTGAGAACCGCTGCAAGGTTATCTCCTTACAGATAAGGGTTAGTGACTTGCCAGAGATGCACAGCTTGCAGGTGGCGTCTGTGTCCACAGACATTTGACTGAGAAAGTGTGGGAAGATGGCTAGGGCTGCGGCTGGGCTGAGGGTGGCCTGGACCCCAACCCCAGCCCACCCTCAGTCTTTTGCAGGTGGGGTTGCGGCAGTTGGACATGTCCCTGCTGTGCCAGCTGTGGGGCCTGTACGAGTCAATCCAGGACTACAAGCACCTGTGCCAAGACTTGAGCCTGTGCCAGGACCTGTCATCTTCCCTGCATTCAGACAGCTCCTACCCACCTGATGCTGGCCTGTCCGATGACGACGAACCTCCTGATGCCAGCCTGCCCCCAGACCCACCTCCCCTCACTGTGCCCCAGACGCACAATGCCCGTGACCAGTGGCTGCAAGATGCCTTCCACATCAACCTCTGAAGAGCTGGGGGGGTGGGGGTGCATGTACCCATGCAAAAGGCTCAGAAACTTACCCCTCAGCAAGTACTCAGACTGTAGTGCCTGCTTCCCCCTCACCACCTCACCCCACAGGAGGGAAGGCCTGGTCCCTCAGAGGCACAACTGCCAACCTCCTCTCCCGTCGGGTTAGCTGGCACTGGGCAGGCACCTGGGCTACAGCCGCTGCCCCTGGCACTGGACCTCCACTTCTTCCCCGTGTATGCACCTCGGCTTAGCCAACCTTCAGTCTGTCCGTGGGCCCAGCGCATCCTCTCTCCCTTGGTATCTCGGACTGGGATGCGTATCTGACTCCCGTCTCCTTTTCACCGTGTGCTGCTGTTGGCAGCTGCTGGCTCAGGGGCATCCCACCTCCGGTCCCTGGGTTCACTGCCCTCGACCAGGGCTCCAGGACCCAGTCTGGCACCGCCCACAGCCGGGAGGGCCAAGACTCTGCGCAGGATGTTTAAGTTGAGGGGCCGCCTCCTGGGCGCATAGATCAATAAATCCTCTCAGCGGCCCAGCGTTCCGACTCTTGGTTCTGGGGCGGAAAGAGCGGCGTTTCTGGCAAGTGCGGCCCCGTGCTCCGCCGGCAGGTGGCGCCGGAACCGAGTGAGAAACGGCGGCGGCGGGGTGCGCATCCTCCCCCGGACCGACCGGGGAGCTTTCCAAGTTGGCCCAGCCTGGCCCCGCGGTTGTGTGTCTGCGGGCAACTCACTTCCCCTCTCTGGCCGGGGGCCTGGAGCCCAGCCTCCTTCCCACTCGGGGCCTTCCTGGCGGCCTGGAAGGAAGGAGAAGGAGCCGCCCATCTGAAGGAGAGAAATTTTCCACCGCGAGTCGAGGCGGGCGGAGTTGGGGCGGCACAGGAAATGGGTGGGCCAGAGCTCGCAGGCCAAGGGGCCCCTTGGAGGGGGAGGGGGAGGGAGCGGGGAAGGCACTTCTGGGAAGGGCCTGGGAGCTAGTGAGCGCCCTGTGGGTGGGAGGAAAGAGCTGCAGAGGTAGAAGGGGGTGAAGTCGCCATCCCAGGTCTCCCAGAGGCCAAACCAGCCCTGAAGGAGAGGTGGGGGTCAGTGCCCCCGGCCTTGGTGCATAAGACAGGGTCCCAGACACCCCCATTCCTCAGTCTCATACAGCCTGGCCTGGCCGCACAGGACTTGGGACCTTGAGGGTTGTAAGTTAAAAAGTCTTAGGGGAAATGGAGGACCACTCTGCTGGGACTGGGATCCAAACCCACCAGAGGAGCCTGCGCACTTGGGGACGGTGGGTCCTCATTCCCTCATTCACACACAAACACCCCCCAACTTCATGTATATATGACTGGTTTCAGAGAGGAAGGGAGGAGAGAGAGAGAAACGTCAATGATGAGAGAGAAACATTGATCAGTTGCCTCTTGCATGCCCCACATTGGGAATCGAGCCCACAACTCAGGCATGTGCCCTGACGGGGAATTGAACCATGACCTCTTGGTTCATAGGTCGACGCTCAACCACTGAGCCACACCGGCTGGGCATCACCCCACAACTGAGACCAAGAAGCGAGAACAGGACCAGGAAGTCGCTCACTTAGGCGTTGGGGTTGCGCAGACCCACGCCCAGTTTCTTGCCTCCTGGAGACAGCTCGGCCGGGACTCCTGGCAGATGAGGCATCCCGTGTAAATGGAGTTTTTCAAGCACCAGGCTCCTCTGTCCGCTCACCAGCCTTGCAGAGCTCGGGCGCTGGGGGGCAGGGAACAGGCTGATGTGCTGCCGGGCCGGTTCCCTAACTCGGCCTGACACCTGCGGCTCATTACCATACCGGGCGGGCGGGTCCGCGAGGGCCCTAATCTAGGTGTGAGCAGTGGCTGACACCCAAGGCGGACTCCCCGGGGGAGGGAGCGTCAACACGCAGTCCCGTTAGTGATAACGGGTTCTACGCCATGAAACCTCACACTGTGAGGTTTCCAAGTACAAACACAACTTCCCAGGGTTTCATCCTCTCCTCGCTGTGAAAGGCGGGACTGTAATGACTCCTGTGTACCAGGTGGGAGCCGGGCGCAGTGGCGCTCTCCGGGTCACGCACGTGTGGGCGGTCTGAACCCCCAGCTCCGCTGGCGGCTGGGACTAGCTGCCT